TTATTTATCCTGTCTGTCTTAGCCTTACTCTAGATATATGACTGTGAAATATGTCTGATGTATCCTGTCTGTCTTATCCTGACTCTAGATACATGAATGTGAAATATGTCTTATGTCTCCTGTCTGTCTTAGCCTGCCTCTAGATACATATCTGTGATATATGGCTTATGTATCCTGTCTGTCTCAGCCTGACTCTAGATATATGACTGAAATATGTCTTATGTATCATGTCTGTCTTAGCCTGACTCGAGATACATGACTGTGAAATACGACTTATTGTATCCTGTCTGTCTTAGCATGGCTCTAGATACATGACTGTGGAAATATGTCTTATTGTATCCTGTCTGTCTTAGCCTTACTCTAGATACATGACTGTTAAATATGTCTTATGTATCCTGTCTGCCTTAGCCTGACTCTAGATACGTGACTGTGAAATATGTCTTTTGCATCCTGTCTGTCTTAGCCTTACTCTAGATACATGACTGTAAAATATGTCTTATGTATCCTGTCCGTCTTAGCCTGACTCTAGATTCATGACTGTGAATTATGTCTTATGTATGATGTCTGTCTTAGCCTGACTCCAGATACATGACTGTGAATTATGTTTTATGTATCCTGTCTTTCTTAGCCTGACTCTAGATACGTGACTGTGAAATATGTCTTATGTGTCCTGTCTGTCTTAGCCTGACCCTAGATACATGACTGTGAATTATGTTTTATGTATCCTGTCTGTCTCAGCCTGACTCTAGATATATGACTGTGAAATATGTCTGATGTATCCTGTCTGTCTTAGCCGACTCTAGATATATGACTGTGAAATATGTCTGATGTATCCTGTCTGTCTTATCCTGACTCTAGATATATGACTGTGAAATATGTCTGATGTATCCTGTCTGTCTTAGCCTTACTCTAGATATATGACTGTGAAATATGTCTTACGTGTCCTGTCTGTCTTAGCCTGGCTCTAGATATATGACTGTGAAATATGTCTTTTGCATCCTGTCTGTCTTAGCCTGCCTCTAGATATATGACTGTGAAATATGTCTGATGTATCCTGTCTGTCTTAGCCGACTCTAGATATATGACTGTGAAATATGTCTGATGTATCCTGTCTGTCTTATCCTGACTCTAGATACATGATTGTGAATTATGTCTTATGTACCCTGTCTGCCTTAGCCTGACTCTAGATACGTGACTGTGAAATATGTCTTTTGCATCCTGTCTGTCTTAGCCTTACTCTAGATACATGACTGTGGAAATATGTCTTATTGTATCCTGTCTGTCTTAGCATGGCTCTAGATACATGACTGTGGAAATATGTCTTATTTTATCCTGTCTGTCTTAGCCGACTCTAGATATATGACTGTGAAATATGTCTGATGTATCCTGTCTGTCTTATCCTGACTCTAGATATATGACTGAAATATGTCTTATGTATCCTGTCTGGCTTAGCCTGACTCTAGATTCATGACTGTGAATTATGTCTTATGTATCCTGAAACCAAAACACTAGTTTGTTGACCTTCAAACCTGTCTTTAAGGTCAACTTTCATACCCAATCAAATAGTTTAATCTTTTGTGATGTCAGTAAAGACAGGTTTCATTGTAGTAATGTTTTCAAGAACAAATCAGGATTTATAAAACGTGAAAATCAATTATTTTCTCTATAATATATAAGTAATGATATCCTTTCACTATTTATTGACATTTTCAGTTTCTCCAATTTTGCTGGTGTTTCTTCAAAAATGATACTCTTATCTATTTGGCTGACTCTCTAGCTGTCTGAAAAACTCATGTGAAAGCAAATTGGATAGAAAATTGGATAGATGATGAATGACCTTATAGCCATTAAAATTGAACCTCTTTTTAAGTTGTTCATTCATGTGTGAATACGGTAGCAATGAGTCCCACTGTTCGCTAGGTGGTTACCACTGAAAGCTTGTACATACATGCATACCTAGAGTAAAAATGTTTAATATCTGATTGCCAGAGGCCATATAGGTGTATTAAAGAACATCACTGTATTTAACCAAGAAACAAATTAATGTACCATTGAAAAAAAAATCTACTATTTGTTTCATCTAAATTAAGTTTTAATTCTATCAAACTACCAGCTTGAATTTACATTCACTGAAACTTTAAAAACGGGCTTATAATTATCTGAGCTGCAGCATGACTCTACATTTTGGATTAACATAATTATACGGACAAACTGATGAGTCGTCAATACCGATTCTCTCTCTCATACCTGTGTGTACAGCTGGGTAATCAGTCCCTGGGGGGTATAATTAAATCTCTAATTTACACAGCATTTTATGCCTCAGAGTTTTTTATTGTGATGTCATTTGTACGTCGTGGTTTGCAGTCATACGTACAGCATCACATTTTAGTCTGGCAGCAAACTTGAGGTTCAGAGTTTTCATCAAGATGTTGTTTGAAGTACTTTGTATTTTCTATGTCAGTTTATGAAATAAAACTATTTTTCTTAAATGTTTATCGAAGATGAAGAAATTTTTCCCCCAGGGTTATGAAATTAAAATAAAAACCTTTACAATAATTAAATTTCTACTGTTAAGTAACAGAAAATTTCACTGCAATTAAATTTTCGCCTTTTCCGCCCTTTGCAGTGAATTTATTATGACAGTGAATATCATATACAACTCTTTTATGCCTATGGGTGAAGGATAGGGAAATCCCATCTGAGAGATTTTCAAAGGTAAAACCTGAAGTGTTGCCAAGGGTTTTGCCAAATTTGAAATTCCAGAGGGTGAAAGTTCTCTATCCTTCACCCTTGAGCATGAAAGGGTATTTTTCTCTCATTCAAACTTACAGGATAAGCTCAGAAACCATGAAAATGCATTTGGACTGGTTACTATTTTGAAAATAGCAGTTTTTTTTGATGAAAATGAGTCTGTCAGTGATATTAAGCATACCCCATATTTGCAAACAAATTTGCACAGAAAAAATAATATCATCTTTCTAACGTGTACGGTAAATATATCGTAAAAAGTTTTAATTTCATCACGTCGCCTTTTCCTCATTGCGGCATCAGAGTTTTCCGAATGTGACGTCACGCCATTGTTGAGCCATCAAGACACATTTTGAGGAAACTTTGTATATTTGTGTATTAAAGACAAGAATATATTGGTGTCCTGTACCCAAACAGTGGTCTGTAACCCCTCATGCCTGTTAGTATCACATTTTATGTGATGGCCTTTTTTCACTACAGAATGTGTATTAGTTTTTATCGAAATAAAAAAGGAATAAAACATGAAGATTGTTTTCACTATATGAAGATGTTCATGTATGTGTTGATACACTTCTGGTTTCCCCACTGGACGTCTACTTCAGAACGAAAAAAATAAAGGGCAAGCAACTCTGTTTACGCACGCATGAGTTACCATTCAAGAGCTACGCTCTTATAAGAATAAGGTACACTGTGTGCAAATCAAGAGACTGACCCTTCTGGGGGCAGAGGGGCATAGTCAAAAGGGGTTAGATTGGCTGATTTGCTTTGTTTAAACACAATTTCATATGAAACTACTAATCAGGTTTTAACTGGCTAACATTTCTGGAGGCTCTCCTCTCAAACTGTTGGCAATGGGTACATGATTTCAGCCTTGCTACAAAGACCCTTGAGCCTCTTTGTATCCTGAGAGTAGAATACATTGCCTAACAGCACACACATGTTGATATCCTTGGTCTATGTTATATGATATTTTCAAGATGTATTTGAATGTTCGTGTGCCAATTAATATTTTCAATATATCCTAAAAGATCAAAAGCTCTTTGGGGAGGGGTTAACTTTGTGCACTCTGCTCCCTCCTTTTTGTCGTATCATAACTGTGTTCTTATTATCCCTTTGCAACGAAATTTTGAGGGGATATATATATAGGATTCTGCCCGTACGTACCTATGTACGTATGTTACACTCTTTGTCATCGCTCTAGCAACTTCATTACTGAACGGAATATCATGAAACTCCATGCAACTGTTTGGTATGGCAATGCCTTGAACAAGTTTGCATTTGGGGTTTTATGTTCAAGGTCAAGGTCACTGTTACTGTTTCCAGAAAAAACGTTGTCATTGCTCTACAGACTTCATTCCTCAACAGTATTTCATGAAACTTCATACAACTGTTTGGTATGACAATTCCTTGGAACAATTTCACGTTATAGGTTACTGAGTTAAAGGTCATGTTCACTTTTACTACTTTATAAAATCTTTGTCATCGCTCTATCGACTTCATTCCTCAATGGAATTGAATGAAACTTCATACAAGTCTTTGTTATAACAATGCCTTGAACAGGTTCTCGTCTCTGGTTTCTACATTGAAGGTCAAGGTCATTGTTACTTTTTTTAGAAAAAAACTTTGTCATCGCTCTAGCGACTTCATTTCCTCTTATATACATGTTTGTCACAATATGTGAATGCGAGGGGATTTGTATCACTTGTGATGCCTTGTTTATTGTATAGTTACTTGTTGTGTCGCCTGCGAAAAGCTGGTGACACATAGGTATTTTATGTCGGCGGCGGTGTCTGCACAGAGGTTTTCGTGCGATAACTTGAGTTTCCTTGGGCCGATCAAACTCAAACTTCATGCAGTGCTTCCTTACCAAAAGTGCTTGCTTGGATTTGCTTTTCAGGGTCAAAGGTCAAGGTCACTGTTACAATAAATAGAAAATCTGTTTTCGTGCGATAACTTGAGTTTCCTTGGGCCGATCAAACTCAAACTTCATGCAGTGCTAAGCAAGTCCTGCGCAGGCGACACATCCACTTCCGTGGAAATCTTGTGTTAGGTGATGATCATGTCTGGACATATAACATAGTGTTATGCATCTTATAAAATAATTTTTGAAAGTAAAATTGTTCAAATTCAACTAACAACAGGTTTTTTTCAATGTTGGTAGCACACGTGACCTTTGACTTAAGCAGTTTTAAATCCAGTGTATTTTTTCTAATTAATTGCAGCAGACCTTATTTCTGTTTGTAATTTTCCAGGATCAGTGGTGAACTTCGACAAGGACCCTGTAGCCAATGCAGCAGACAGGGTATTCAGTGTCCTCCAGTCCCAGACTATCGACAAACCATTCCGAGATAAACTTCAACATTCCATCAACATAATTGAACAAAGTCTAGAAAAATATGGGTAACTATTTATATAAGTTAGACAATATTCTATAGCTGTTCCTGTAACTTGCTGCATGGACATGATAGATTCTATTAACCATACACATATATTGTTGTGTTAAATTCTATTCTGTCTTTGCGTATTGCAGAGTTTTCTTCTCTTGGGAGCAGGTATTGATTGTTACGCCACTTGTTTGTGAGAGTAACGTCATCAATTTTTGAGAAAACAACATAATTTTCTCGCACAAATCAATGATGTAACAATCAATACCTGCTCCCAAGAGAAGATAACTCTGTAATACGCAAAGACGGAATAAAGTAAAGAGGACCACTGCATCAGTTAAAATCAATTGGAGATTTCAGGCACTCAAAGGTCTTTTTTTGATACAAGTGTTCTTCCTTATACATGTATATAAAAGATGAAGCATTTACTGAAATTTTATATATCCTTGCAGTTGTTTTCACCTTTGGCAAAAGTTGTTAAATATACTAAAAATGCAAGCAGGGGCATGCTTTTAAACATTAATCTATTATGACTTGATGTGTCTGTTTTCCATTTCTTTTAAACTGTTAACCGCAAGTATCTGGCATTAAAAATACTTTTTTGTGATTTTTTTATATGAGAACAAACAATTGTTCATGTATGAGTTATTGTGAAGATGCGGAACCTTAAACAAGCAAATTTAAATTGGTTAATCAATTGATGTCATATTTAAAAGTTACACAAGAGTGTGTGTAATGCTAAAACTTGGCTAATTATCAGATTAGAACAATCAAGGGAGACAACTCAATGATATATAAGGGAGGAAACTCAATTGTATATATGGGAGGCAACTCAAAAGTATATAAGGGAGGCAACTCAATTGTATATAAGTGAGGCAACTCAATGGTATATAAGTGAGGCAACTCAATGGAATATAAGTGGGCAACTCAATTGTATATAAGTGAAGCAAATCAATGGAATATAAGTAAGCAACTCAATTGTATATAAGTGAGGCAACTCAATTGTATATAAGTGAGGCAACTCAATGGAATATAAGTGGGCAACTCAATGGAATATAAGGGAGACAACTCAATGGAATATAAGTGAGGCAACTCAATGGAATATAAGTGGGCAATTCAATGGAATATAAGTGGGCAACTCAATGGAATATAAGGGAGACAACTCAATGGTATAAAAGTGAGGCAACTCAACAGTATATAAGGGAGACAACTCAATGGTATATAAGGGAGGCAACTCAATGGTATATAAGTGAGGCAACTCAATTGTATATAAGTGAGGCAACTCAATGGTATATAAGTGAGGCAACTCAATGGAATATAAGGGGGACAACTCAATGGAATATAAGGGAGACACCTCAATTATATATAAGGGAGACAACCCAATTGTATTAAGGGAGACAACCCAATGGTATATAAGTGAAGCAACTCAATTGTATATAAAGGAGGCAACTCAATGGTATATAAGGGAGGCAACTAAATGGTATATAAGGGAGACAGCTCAATAGTATATAAGGGAGGCAACTCAATTGTATATAAGGGAGACAACTCAATGGTATATAAGGGAGGCAACTCAATTGTATATAAGGGAGGCAACTCAATGGTATATAAGGGAGGCAACTCAATTGTATATATAAGGGAGACAACTCAATTGTATATAAGGGAGACAACTCAATGGAATATAAGGGAGACAACTCTATGGAATATAAGTGAGGCAACTCAATGGAATACAAGGGAGGCAACTCAATTGTTTATAAGGGAGGCAACTCAATGGTATATAAGGGAGGCAACTCATGGTATTTAAGTGAGGCAACTCAATGGAATATAAGGGAGACAACTCAATTGTATATAAAGGAGGCAACTCAATGGTATATAAGGGAGGCAACTCAATTGTATATAAGGGAGACAACTCAATGGTATATAAGGGAGGCAACCCAATTGTATATAAGGGAGGCAACTCACTGGTATATAAGGGAGGCAACTTAATGGTATATAAGGGAGGCATCTCAATGGTATTTAAGCGAGGCAACTCAATGGTATATAAGGGAGGCAACTCAATTGTATATAAGGGAGACAACTCAATTGTATATACAGGAGGCAACTGAATAGTTTATAAGAGAGACAACTCGATTGTATATAAGGGAGACAACTCAATGGTATATAAGGGAGGCAACTCAATTGTATATAAGGGAGGCAACTCAATGGTATATAAGGGAGGCAACTCAATGGTATATAAGGCAGGCAACTCCATGGTATATAAGGGAGACAACTAGATAGTATATAAGGGAGACAACTCAATGGTATATAAGGGAGACAACTCAATTGTATATAAGGGAGACAACTCAATGGAATATAAGGGAGATAACTCTATGGAATATAAGTGAGACAACTCAATTGTATATAAGGGAGGCAACTCAATTGTATGTAAGGGAGGCAACTCAATTGTATAATGTACTAGGTAGTATCTATCCCTATATAGTAAAATTTGAAATATCTGTAAACTTTTAGCACTAAGCTTTTGCTTTGAGATAGTAAATTTTTGGAAGATAAGATGTAGATAACTGAGTCTAAGAAATAAATCTCAATCCCAATGCTGAGTTTAGATCTCAAAACTGCAATAATCTTTTGATTTTATCATTTCAGATTAGATGAAACATGTATTGGATTCAATGGGGGTAAAGATTGCACAGCCATATTACATTTATTTCATGCAGTCATCAAAAGGTAGAGTATTGCTGCACACGTCTTTACATCTAAGTTTCAAAATCTGAACTGTGCCTTTACTTTAGCGTCAAACTATTTACAGTGCCTTCAAACAATATGATTACTATAAACTAGTGTTAACTTGGCACTGCCATCAATGATTAACATTTCTGTTAAAACCGTGACAGGAAATTATCAATTTCTTTCCAAGTACTTCTTACACTTCTGAATATTCTACCCGGAAAAGGAAACAAAATCAGATGTAGCCACTGCATTTCACATATTCTGGAAAAACATAATATTCTGATTTAATTGAAAAAAAAATGCATGCTGTTAACTTTTTTCTGCTTCCATTTTCTTTTCTTTTCAATTATGATGATACAGTTCTAGTAACCAACTATTTAATAATATGAGCTGGAGTTTTTCAATGTTTTTCAATGTGGCTCAAATGTATTTGTCATGGATTTTCAGGGAAAAAGTTGTTTTATCTAATAAGAGTTATTTTCCCTTCACCAAAATATGTCTATCATTCCCCATATGATTTATATAAACAGACCAGTTCTTGCTATTTTAAATGTTACTAAAGAGTGAAGTCTGGCAAAAATAATCAAGCAGGCCTTGAAAATCTATGCCCAGGTTTACCAAAAAACCATATCCATTCATAGTAAATGAAGAGCTCTGGTCAAACCATTTGTATAGCAAAAAAAAATAGTGTAGAAATTGGCAGATGCACATGTTTTATGGTTTGAGTTTTCTATGTCTTCTCTTTGTTGTACAGAAAATATCCAGATTATGCAGACAAACTAAAAGCTCTATACATTAGGAGTAAGCTACCTTTCCCAGAAGTGGAGCAGTTTATACAGGTGTCGAGAGATAGGTAAACATTATATGATTAAGATCGTAATTGTGTTGGTGTATATATGTAGGTAATTACAAATGATCACTTTTTTGAAATATCATAAATATATCTTCTGACTTTCATTACAATCTCTATTATGAATTTCATTCAAAGTATAAAGCACCGAAATAAAATGCTACATAAATATATAGAGGATCTGTCATAAGTTTCCCTTCATATTAGATTTATGACAGAAGTTTTGGATTTGTCATTTTTGCGAGCCACTGAGTATCATCAATCTAATATGAAGGGTAACGAATGACAGATTCTTATTATCATATTATATAAAGTACACTGTATAGTTGTGATCTGAAACAAATGTTTTGCACTTGGCCGCCTCTGAAACAATGAAAATGACGTCCGCTTCACAATGAGTTGACGTCACATTGATTGTTCCTATTCCATTGTGACGTCATTTCCGGAAAGATATTACACACGTTACATAAACATGATTTATGTGATGGCTTTATGACACTGCATAACACAGTATTCATATGATATATATGTATATTTTCATTTTTCATAATTATTCTCCTTGTTTCATTCCTGTATTTTTTTTTTATAACAAGCCTAAATGTGTTTGGTAATAAGCCCCTGTCTGGTTTTATTAAAGACCATGCTTTTTATATTTTGTGGTTTATGCTATATTATTGCCAAACCTAGAAAACTAAAATTTCTTTCATAAACTACTCCATGTTTTCACCATAAACACCATAAACAAATACGTGGTTTTTTTTATAATACAATCAGTATGTTTTGAGTCTGGTGTAGTGGATACGAAATCCTGTATCGGAAATCTATCATTAAATGTCATTAAAGCTTGGTTATCCTAAAATTGATTTTGAAAGTAAAAGCTTTCTACAAAACAAAAATGAAACATGTATATACCAGGTATGCTTTATGTAAGTTACCTGCCAATTCACTGTTAAAATTAATGCTAAAGTCTTGTTTATCTATTAAAACATAAATAATATATAGCTACTCTGTTTCAAAATAGCGAAATTTACATCTGTTTTCAAAACTTGATTTTCCTCATCATTATCCTGTTTATATTTTGATTTTAATCAGGTATAATTTAGACATGCTGAACTTCAATGGTAGAATTAGAGACTGCCTTGGTGACCTTCGCGCCCAGCAACCTAACATCAAGGCCGTGGTCATGGGTACCAGAAATACGGATCCTTACTCTAGTAAGTATAGACACTACTCCATATCTACAGTATAGGAATGTTAGATAGGGAGAAAGTCAATGAAGGACCAAGTGAAAGTCATGTATAAGAATGAAAATTAAGTACAGGTACATTGAAATAAATAATACAATTTAAGAATGTGTGTGTATCAGTTTTCATTGCTTGCTGATTATACTCGATCATCATTTTTCATTTTCAGTGTAGTTGCATGATTAACAATGAAGAATTTTGTTAAATTCGTGATATTTTTAAGCTATGAGCACTTTTTCTTGCTAAGAATATATAAATGCAGACAGAGTGATTATCACTTCCTCTTTAAAATGATAACCAATTGGTTCGCTTCTCCCAATGGAGTGCCGGATATTTGTTTGATCCTACTTTGTATTTGTATAGTCTTTCTGTCAACGTTTTGTTACTTTCGTTACTTCCCACACAGCAATGTTATGTAAATTGCTAAGGCTAGATTTATTGTATCTTGTTCAGGTTGTCAATCAGTTAAAATCATAAATATGTTATAGATTATAATAAACTAATTATCATTTGTTCTATTCAAATCAGTCAAATATATATATTATAAAATCACAATTCTGATTATATCCTCGATAAATATAGGCTGTGACTGAGACCTCTTAGACCTAGGGTGGACAATTTGGACGGGCTTAATATCAGTTTCGTTGCCTTTTGTATTTACACAGGTCACCTGGAGGGATTCTCAATGACTGATACAGACTGGCCACAATTTATGAGAGTTAACCCCATGCTGGGATGGACCTACTCGGACGTCTGGTTCTTCCTCCGGTCACTATACATCCCTTACTGCAGTCTGTATGACCGAGGGTCAGTATTTTATCACATATTTAACATGATCAGGTGGTGTTTTATTCCTTACTTTTTGTTGCCGTTGTATTGTTTATTGAGTCATCTCTTTCTTAAGATTCATCCTTTATGAGATTTTAGTATGTGATGTTGTGAATGTCAATAACTTCGTTGACTTTGATGTATAAGGCATTATATTAGTTATAAGACCAAATGTTGGGGGAGTTACATGAAAATCTCTGATTTTTTATGAATAATCAAGGAATTTTGAATACCTTACTCAACTTATACGTAAATTATATATATTTTACAACAATTATGAAACAAGTTATATCAACTTATATTAATCACTCTTGTTGGCCTGAATGTTAGCACGCGGGGGTCTTAATGTGGGAGGAAACCGGAATACCCGGAGAAATATCTTAACGTGGTTGGTTAAGTGACCTATGCCTTTTCACGTCCGATCGCGGAATCAAACCCTGGTCGCCTTGGTGAAAGGCAAGTGCGCTATCCACTACACCCAATACGCCCACCCATATTCAACTTAAAAATCAATGCCTAAATCATTTCAGAACCTTCCAAAACCTTTCAAAAATGGCTGAAATACTTTTCGCTAGCAGGATAATGAACTATGATAGAGGGATCATATGCCTAGGCCAGTAAAAAGGGTAGGGGACACTTGTTAAGAGATGTGGCACAGGGCACTTAAACATTTGTATGTGGTAGTCTAAAGCACATGAACTGTGAATAATCTATATCATTATTATCTGGAAATGTTGTCAGAATAAACACATACACAATAGGAAGAAGTGCACTTTTTATCAATTTGAGGAACCTTAAAAAAGGAATTGTGGCTTAGGAGTGATTTTTTGCATTCATGTTTAAAAAAATATGTATATATTAATGTACTGTATATTTAATAATATTTAGAATTATTCTTAAACATAAATGCATACATTATAGTCACAGAGCCAATTTTGGGGATGGACAACATTATTGAAAAAGCAAATAATGTATTGCAATAAAAATTACAAGTTTGGCAATATCCATATTGCAATGTAGTGTTGAGAAAGCAATGTTGCAATAAAATCATACCCCCAAATTTAAAGTTGGAGGGGTTATACTGGAACCGGGTTGTCTGTCCCTCCGTCCATATGTCTGTATAAACTCAATATTGTTCTTGAACAGCACCCATAGCAGTTATTTCTTGTGTGTCTCCTTGAACATTCTTATAATATATATTTTTAGTATATATATTCAATATACCATTACTCCAAAATATTGTAATAAGTTGCAATACCAAACTGGTGGCAACACCCAATTTGCTGATCCTTTTTATGACAAGTTTGATCTCCTTCTGTATGTGTTTTTGTTTCATACTTGACAGATACACCTCCCTGGGGAGCATGAACAATACTCATCCCAACCCTGTACTACAGTTTATAGATGACAGGGGCGTGGTTTGTTATAAGCCAGCCTACCTGCTTCAAGAGGGCTGCAAGGAGAGAGATGGTCGCAACACGTGACAGAAATAAACTTTTAAATTCTGCCTACCATCATCTTTCTTAATGATATTGTACTATAAAACATTGTTATTATCATGATGTGTTCTTTGTCTTTGAAAAAGATAGACAAATATATAAAAAAAAACAGGATGTTGATGTTTGGCCAGTAGCATGCTAGGATGAAGGGCTACCAAGTTTGTTCAAATGAATGACCTTTAATTATATTCAAGGTCACAGGGGTCAAATATGTTAAAATCTTTAAACGACTTCTTCTGAATTACCATAAGGCATGTAATGTTGATATCTGGTCAGTAGCATGCTTGGATCAAGGTCTACCAAGTTTGGTAAAGTGAATGACCTCGACTTATATACAAGATCACAGGGGTCAAATATGTTCAAAATCTTCAAATGACTTCTTCTGAATAACCATGAGGCTCAGAATGTTGATATTTAGCCAGTGGCATGCTTGGATAAAGGGCTATCAAGCTTTTTCATTTGAATGACATTGATGCACTTTCAAGGTCACATTTGGTCAAATATGTATAAACATTTACATGATCTTATTTCAATAAACAAAAGGATAGGGTGGTGATATTTTGCAAGTTGCATCCTGAGATGAAGGGCTAAAATATGTGTTCAACAAAATGACCTTGTTCGACTTTCAAGGTCACAGGGTTGAAATGTTTTTAAAATCTTTTAACAGGTTCTTTTGAAAGACTTTTAATCATAAATACTGATATTTTGCCTTTAGCTTTATTTTAGATCACTTTTAAGGTTACAAGTGTGAGATTTATACCAGGTGAGCGATGCAGGCCCATTGGGCATCTTGTTAAGCATTTTAAAATGATGTCAGTCAGTGGGGTATATGTTATACATAAAAAGGAACTAAGCCTTTTTGTTAATACTTTGTGGAATTATGCATAGTGCAGTTTTATCAGTATGTATGTATAACTCCCTAAAAAGATTTTGCTATTCCTTAAGTAAAGATAAGTACATGTGTATATATCATGTTTTATTCATCACATGTTGGTACATGTTTTATGCATAATATACCACGTTGACATTCTTTATCTGGGATATTTATGAAGTACAAATCCTGGATGCTGATCGGAAAACACACATGCACTCTGAGACAATACGAAACATTCAAGAGTTCAACTTGAAATAATTTGGATCCGGTATTCCGATTTATTGTTAAGTTATCTTATTTGCATATTTTACTTTAAGTAAAACAACATTCAAATTAATTTTAAGTGGTGTTAAACTGCTGAGAAAATCTTGGAATGTTTTTTGATGTATGTGTTACATAATTTGGTTTAATATTGACTGCTTTACATTGAATGTGCAGCATTTGATTGTTTAATGCCCAAACGAAGTCACCTGACCAACAAGCTGAAGGTCATAATATTTTGCCAGGAACTTGCCGACATGAATTACTACAAAAGAACAAAAACAAGAGATCCCAGGGGGATCTTGGCGCCCACCATTGTTCCATGTTCAATGGTTCTTTGTCGGTTCGATCTTCTCTCTTCTTTTCTCTAATCTGTTTAATCGAGTCATGTAAACAGTAAATTCACCTTGAGGTAACTTTTGATCTAAACTTAATACTGCTGTGTATAAAAGGCAACCTTCAAAGTGAGTTTGTCATTTCACATATTTACTAGTACAGTACTTAATGTGAAAGAAATAGAACCGATCATTGCAATATGAGAAAGATCTGTTCAGTTCTTCCTTCGGGCATTTTGTTTTTATGATCAGTCTCAAAATATAACGTGCACAACGATGGATCAAGGGGAACATACATATCAAATTTGAGAAAAATCCCTCAAGTTATTCCTGAGAAATAGCACTAAATGTCAAAAATCGAAGATGGCCGTTGGTTGGCCATTTTGTTTATCTGATTAGTTTCAAAAGTAAACATGAACAATAAAGGACAGTGGGGAACCTGCATATAAATTTTGAGAAAGAACCCTCCAGTACTCCCTGGGAAACAGCACCAACAAACCTCAACTGTCAAAATCAAAGATTTGTTTATCCGATCAGTCTCGTAAGAAAACATGCACAACTACATACCAAGGGGAACCTACATGTCAAATTTGAGAAAGATCTCTCCAGTACTTGTTGATAAATAGCGATAACAAACATTCACTGTCAAAATCGAAGATGGCTACATGTCGGCCATTTTGTTTATCTGGTCATTCTCAAAATTAACATGCACAACTAAAATCCAAGGGGAACCTACATGTCTAATTTGAGAAAGATCCATCCAGTATACGTACTTCCTGAGAAATAGCAATAACAAACCTTTACTGTAAAAATCCAAGATGGCTGCCCTCCCGCCATTTTGTTTATCTGATAACTCAAAATTAAACATGCACAACTACAGGTCAAGGGGAGCCTACATAACAAATTTGAGAAATATCCCTCCAGTACTTCCTGAGAAATATCGATAACAATCAAATCGTCCTGCGTCCGTGGTCCGTCCAGCCTTAAACAACAGATGATGGTGGGCTAAAAATACGATCTTGACCCATATTCCAGATCAGAGGTCAAATTTGATAAAGTATTGGAATGATTTTTCCTGTAGAACTGAAAATATTTTTATCTTATTTGTACAAGAGCTTGCTGTCATGGACTGCTGCAATACTGTCATTTCACAATGAAATGCTGACCTTAGCCCATATTCAAGGTTACAGGGGTCAAATTTGTAAAACCACTCAATACTAGAAGGGCACAGAGTCTTAATACAGCCAGTAGCTTGCTGCAATCGATTGGAATCGAATTTTTGAATAAAAAAATCGACGACAGACCGATATAAAAAAAGTCGATAAAACGTCGGAATAATTCGGACTAAAAATTACCTTGATCCATGGTCGAGGGCATAGGTCACATTTATTGAAATGCGCGAACTTTTACTGAAGAATCCCGTGGTTAAGAGTCATGATATTTGGGCAGTAGCTTGCTGGCATATAATGCAACAAAGTTTGGGAAGGAAATGACCTTGATTCATAATCAAGGTCAATGGATCACGTATTTATTTTAAAACCCACAAACAACTTCTGAAGACTTTAAAGGCCAAGGGTCATATTATTTCACCAATAGCTCACTGGTTTGGAGTGCTACAGAGTTACACAAATCAATGCCTTAACCTATACTTAATGTGACCAGGGTCAAATTTATAAGATTACTTGTAAGATCTGTTATGACCTGCTACAATGTTGTGCAATATCTGGCCCATATCTCTTTAATGAAATTCACTTAAACACTCCAATTGACCTTTTCTGAAGAACCGCAACGACCTTGACCCACATTCTAGGTCACATGGGTCAAATTTATTAAAAAGAAATTAAATAACTTCTCTTGAAGTACAGCATGCAATTAGAGACATTTTGCTAGAAATTAAGATAAATTCACCTTCATTGCAGAAGGCTGCAGGAAGGACAAAAGTTAAAATGCAGTGAAAACATTCTGCTATTGACCGTTAAACCCTTTCACCACTATAGACCATAAAGGACTCATCCAGATCAATGCATGGTATAGAGTCTACTAAAGTTACATATGGTTGAAAGGGTTAACTGATTTGTAAATGACTTGTTCACGGTATGAGGACAAATATTGTATATATTACATATGATTTCAAAGAGAAATGCATTGTATTCATTATGGTTAAGCCGTGTAAAGATTTGTTTGTATAATGTTGAACATTAAATGTAAAATAGATGCAACACTGAATTAAAGATGAAGGTAAAATATCACAATATGAACATGGTTTTATATTTTTCTCCAATTAAATTTTACCAAGGGATGTTTTTGTAATGGAATTTATATTACTCGGTCTAATATTGCTAGTTTAAATTGCAAATGCCAGCGTTCGATTATATCAAATATTATGACAGTCTCCTGTTCTAAATTTGGATATGAAATGTATCCTGTATCTTAGCAACACTGACTGATCAACTTGACCTAATGTAGGCGAACTGTAGAACCAAGGTGTCCCATTCTATTTCGATGACAATTCTCAAACCTTTGTAATGTCACATGTCCAGAGGGAAGCTACGGTACGTCAAGGAATCCTATAACAAATACACTACAACTTCTGTCATATATCGTAATGAAAGGCATTATTTTTAGGTTTGTTATTAGGGGGCTGTGTTGGCAGAGTGGCTAAGGCGTCTGACCGTCTACAATTACTAACCCTTCCACACCGGGTCAAACATAGCTTATGTGGTACAGTCGCCAGTTACTAGCCACAGGGTGGTTGTCTCATTATATTCCGGTTTTCTTCCACAATCAAAGCATGGCTTGTCCTTCAATAGGACAAAAACACAAAGAATCATTTATGGTATAATACAGACATTAATTGTAAAAATGATTTGTATTTTTTCTGTTACTTTTTACAGTTGATGTTTTCGGTTTTGCAATTAAAGAACCATAACTGTATTTAAAAAATATACAGGATATAAGAAAAAAATATTATTTTCTTTCTGGTATATAAAATTACGCAGTGTTTCATATTTGAAACTTAGTTTTAAGCTCACCTGGTCCAAATAGCCAAGTGAGCATATGCCGTGGTGCATCGTCCGGCGTCAATATTATATTTTAATTTAAACAGCTTCTTAATAACCTAAAGTCCTAGGGTGATGTTAATAGCCAAAATGCCCAGGGTGATACTATTTTGCCAGTATTCAAGATCACAGGGTACAAATATGTTCAAAATGTTTAAGCGATTTCTCTTGAATAACCAAAATGCCCAGGATGTTGATATTTGGCCAGTCGCATGCTAGGATAAACGGCTACCAAGTTTGTTCAAATGAATGACCTATAATTATATTCAAGATCACGGGTCAAATATGTTTAAAATATTTAAACTTTTCTGAATAACCATGAGGCCCAGAATGTTGATATTTCGCCAGTAGCATGCTTGGATGAAGGGCAAAGGACCTAATTTCAATAAACAAAAGGATAGGGTGGTGATATTTTGCAAGTTGCATCCTAAGATGAAGCTATAGTATTCGTTCCAACGTAATGACCTTGTTCGACTTTCAAGGTCACAGGGGTGAAATGTTTTAAAATCATTGAACAGGTCATAAATACTG